TTTTAGAATGTTATAATCTCAAGTAAAGGTCAAAACGACCCTAGACTATTCTTAGCAAAAAGGAGATTGTGATCTCAGCCCCTTTCGTATGCTAATGTCACCCCTCTGCCTGCTTGAAATGTATAAAATAAACCTCTGCTGAAGGCAGAGCAGGAAGATTTGCACCCAACTCCGACTCCCATGTCTTCCTCACTCCTGCTCCCTTGTACTCCCCAATTTTTAGAATATCGCCTCACAGACGTCGTTCCCACCTTGAGACCCTGCCTGTGTCCGCCTCTCAACAGCCTGAAATCGGGGTTAGTCCCCCGGACAGTCCTGCACTGGTTGAAACAGATGAGGGTGAGAGACCCATGGGGAGGTTAACAATGGCAGCTTTTATTTCAATTGTGATTTCTTTTCTGACACTTTCCTTTCAAAATGCCTGGAACCTTTTCTATGGGTCCCCATCATAGGTAGGTGTGTTAGACTTGGGGCAGGCTTTCAGGCATGAGTGGCCCTGCTTTGGGCCAACCCTCTTTAGTAGGGCATTTACCCAGGAGGGGGTGGGGAACTTTGGGTGCTTAATTTGAAAACCATATTGTATTTTGTTGTTGCACTCTAATTGTATTAAAGTTTCTTTCCACTAAGGTCTTATATGTGTTGTCTTGATGTGATGGTAGGCAGAATCTATTTAGAGTGGCAGGTTTGGGGGTTCTGGGGTGCTTCTCTCCCTGCTCTGTAATGCTAAAAGAATTTAGGATGGGGGCATCACAAGACCAGAACCTGGAGGTGGGGGTAGAAATGATACACACAGTTGTTAAACCAGCTACAGATATGAAAAATCTGCTCTAGCAAGTGTCAGGTGGTTACAGAAAAGTATTCTGAGGCCCAGACCCGAGGTGGGATATGGAGATTGGGGCCATTGCAGAGAATCACAGGGGCCTTACAAATCAACCTAGTCACATCCTAGAAGTAATCAACAACAGATAAGCATTCTACAAAGGAATGGGCCTCCCTTAACACACACTATCTGTACCATTTCTGCACTGGCAAAAGGCAGCTCTCCTGCCCACCTGGAACGAGGCAGGTGTTTCTTTTCATAAAACTTTTCCCTTTGAAAAAACACTGATTCAAAAGACACCTGCACCCCCATGTTTATTGTTGTTTTATTTACAATTGGAAAGATGTGGAAACAACCCAAATGCCCAAAAGTAGATGACTAGATTAAAAAGATGTGGTACATATACACAATGGATTATTACTTAGCAACCAAAAAAAATAAACACATGCCTTTTGCAGCAACATGGATGGAGTTGGAAGGGGTCATGTTTAGTGAAATAAGCCAGAAAGAAATAAGAAATAAGCCAGAAAGAAAGGGGAAAATACCAGATGGTTTCACTCATAGCAGGAGCATAAAAAAAAAAAAACAGGGGAGAAAATAATACTGATAATGAAAAACTATATGCCAGAGATATTATGGGGCTGGAGTGGGGAATGGGATCAAAAATGAGTGTGGGGGGGTGCATGGGACTATGGTGATGGCAGATGGGTGATTTGGTGGTGGGAAGCCCACAGGGATTACAGCTGAGATTGGAAAAGGCAAAAAAATGATGTAAAAATAAACTATCATATTATTTAAATTTTTTTTAAATAAAAAAGAAGTTAAAATTAAAAAAATAAAATAAATAAATAAATAAATCTTTTCCCTTTGCAAAACATGTGCCAGCTCTTCCCGCAGGTCTCTCCTTCCCTTGTTTTAATGTAATAAAACTGGCCTTGGGATATGGCCAAGTCTTTGCCTCATGGGGAAATGCCAGAGTGCTAAATGGGAACTCTGGTGGAAGTTTTCTCAACAGTAACTCACAGACCCAGCATCTCTTCAAACCAGCACCACTAAGGAACTTAAATGTTTCTATGACTGAGCAGGAAACCACTTATTACACATCATCTGATATGTGTACTAGTACTTTCATCCTGGCTTTACTGTTGAGAATAGACAAGAGAAAATCGAGAGCAGAAGGGAGGTCAGCTACCAGCTTATTGTAATAATCTAAGCAAAAGATGGTTATGACTTAGGGATTCAAGTGGTTGAATTCTAGTTTCTTTTGTAATGAAAGTAGACATGCTGGAGGGGCAGGATGTCCTTGCCCTGTAACAGACCAGACCAGACATAGAGTGACCAAAAATTAAAGTCAAGGATGGCACTGTTAGGAGAGGATGTGTCTGGGCTTGTGTACACCGGTTGAAGAATAACAGTGGTCATACCGACTGGGAGCAAGCAAGTGTGGATTTATTGAAGCAAGAGAAAAGGCCTCCTGACAGCAGGAGGGGGTCCAAGCAAAGGCTCCCACTTACTCCAGCCTGTCTCTGATGATGAACGTCACACTCTGATTGACTAATGTGCCAGACTATTGATTATGCACTAGGTGGTCAGGAAATATCCTGGTGGCTGTTTTTCTGTTCCCTAATTATCCTGTAACTGGATCTTACTCTAGGCGGTGACTAGCTCAGCAAGATTTCAGTGGAACACTTCTATTTTCCTGGGAGCTGTTTCATTCCTTCTGTTCCTGTATTGTTTAAAATCACTGTCTTGCATCTCAGCCTTTCCTGTTCCCCAAGTTCTCCTGGTCTCAGATCCCTTTCAACACCAAGTGTTTGGATCTGATCACACAGGAGAATGGAGGGAAATTGATTTAGGGAGAACATCAGTGATCCACTTGAGTAAATTAAGTTTGCAATGTCCACTGGTCATTTAGGTAGGGATGTCAAGCAGGTAGTCAGGTCCAAGGGAACCTTGATTAAATTCAGAAATCTACTGAAGTCAGCAGCATCTAGCTGATAGTTGAATACCAATAGAGAATAACTGAAAACAATTTCAAGGCCTTGAGTTTGTCACTGTAGTTCTTTGAAATCCCTGTTTTATCAGTGATCATGTATACACAAAAGCAATTGTAAACAGTCAGAAGGGTCTGACTGCAAAGTTAGCTAAAATTAAAACAGTACGGTACATGATGTGTTTTCAATGTCTAATCTCTGAAAACCCTCAAGCGCTTACTTTTTAACAATCCTTACTGTGAGTTTATTTTATCCTGTAATTAGTTCAAATCTTCACATGATTAAAAGGTTTTCATGGCTATCAGAACAGGACTTGGGCTGGAGAGTGTCTGTAGACACCTTCTCCCAAAGTCCCTCAATTCTTGGTTTTAGCTACACATAGTTATCATTTTCAAATACAAGCTCTTTAGCTGGCTTATAGCAAGCACCTTGGGAACATCCACCTTCTGACAGCCAAAGGAGGAGATCTGGCACTAGGCTGCAGTTTGTGAGCAATTTCATGTAGAAAATCCTGCTAATTTATTTCTTCTGGAGTTTTGAGATTGTAGTTAGTCTGTTTGAATGACTGAAAAATCTCTTGAGGCTCTTCTGGAGTCATAATGGAAGAACTTGGTAGGGATTCCTTCTCCAAGGCCTCTTTCTCGAGGAGTTTTGTATTCTCTTGCATGGATTGGGTCTTCTCTGTGGATTTTAGTGGCTAAATGGACAAAAAAAAAATGCTGTTCATGCAAAGTAAACCATACTCAGTTTGGCAAGAACATAATAATGTCATTTTCATGCCTAAGACTAGGAACAAAACTAAACAGACATGCATTAGTAAAGCACAAAACTTGATAGGACACAGATGATCCAGCAATACTTTAATAACTATCTGCCAGAATAAAACTCAACACTTTTGTAAAGGTAAATGGCAAAATTTAGACTTGACCTAAAAGGTATCATCTATAATGTCCAACATATAAATAAGACTAGATTTATGAAAAGTAGGAAAAGGGGATCCATCATCAAGAGAAAAAGTACTTGAAAGCCAGACACTACCTTCAAATGAGTAAGATAAAAAAGGACTTATAAGTAATTTCACAAATTAAAAGGAGTAAACTGGGCACACTAATCCCATCTTAGCCCAGAAGTCCCAGGATCAATTCTGACTCGAATGCTACCCATTGTGTGAATTTTTTCTTGGTTCCTATAATTGGATATGATCTCTACCACACATAATTATGTTCTGTTTCTATTCTTTCTTGGATACATGTACTAGGTCATTAGTATTCAATCTGGGATACTCAAAGACTTTCTAAGTTGTATGCAAACAATGATGGTTTAAGTTAGGAAAAATCTTGCAGTGCTCTAAGCACATGCATAGAAGTCCAATAGCTAAATCAACAGGCCTGTTGAAACCTTACAAACAACCCATCCTGGGCATAAGGGAGATCACTGTTGGGTTTTCTTATCTCCTTTTTTTTAACAAAGAGAGCTGATTTCCATAACCACAACTTGCATATGAACACTTTCTTAAAACTGAGAAATTGCACTAGTCCAGGCCTGGTATTGGTTCTCATTCCTCATCTTCACTTGTAACTGCCTTTTTTCACACTTGGCAACCTTTTGCTTAACTGAATCTTGCTAAAGAACTCTGCTACAGGGTATAAACCTGAGCACTACACAAAAGGACGATTCAGAATATTGATGTGAGCAATTTTTATTTAATAAAGTCACCATAAAACCAGGGGAGAGTTTTGGGAATCTTTCTCTGCATTATCTATTTCTATTAACAGTGAAGCTTGTGTCAGAACAAGATTAGTAGGGGCCGCAAGGTGATGGCAACTTTTTTTTTTTTCAGCTCTTTGGATTGTTTGCAGATTTTGTGTTTGGTTATTAAAAACAATGCTGAGTTCAAAAGTTTTTTTTTTTTTAAGTTAAAATTATATACTTTATTCCTCATGATTCTCTAGGTGATGGCAACTTTTACTTGCTGACACCACCTCTACCATCATCCAACTTCTGGAAGAATGAATTGTTCTTAAGAGTTCCTTTAGACTATAGTCTAACAATAGTATGAAGCTGACATTATTTCAATTTATTTATCAGACATCTGGACTGGAAAAAGTATGTGTATCAAGTGTTTATGAGGAAAGCTGAGCCTGTTAGTATAAATATAAATAAGCTTAATATTTTCATGTCTTCGTCAAAGTTGACTTTGGAAACTAGTTAAAGCTAGGGAATTGTATAAGCCTGCATTAATGATTTTTAACACACAGGGCCTAGTGATCGGGAAAATGATGTCAGATTTCCAACACAGTAAATCAATATCCTATCTAGGAATCTTTGCACTTCCTAGAAAACACAGAAATGATGCAAGAAGTTTTCAAGAAGACATGGCAAAAATTCTTGGAGATAAAAGAAATACTTTTAGACTAAGAAATACATGGCTATTTCTAAGTATTCCAAGTTAGTAATTTATGATCACTATTACAGCATCACAGAGGTGGCATCTGTGGCTTGATACATAAACTAACAGCGCCGAATGAACAAAATACTTCAGTAAATAATATATACTTGCAGTGTTCACTTGAACACGGTTAATAATAACCATGTTTGATCTTTTTCAAAATACATTTTGAAAAGGGCTCAAAGGATTTTATTTTAAAATATTTTGTTCTGGGCCCTCTTTGGTGGCGCAGCGGGTCAAAGCACAGTACTAAGAAGCTAAAGCCACTTCAGCAGGAGTTCGATCCCCGCCTGCCCCAGAGGTGATCCTCATGGTGTGGCAGACCTCTCCTGACCCGCCCGCTGCTCCCTTCAGCGGTGTACTTCGTCAGTCGGCCTGTTCTCCCCACTTTGTCTCTGGTGAAGCCTCTCACCGCCCCTGCATCTCTGGCCTGTACCCTACTTCTGTATGCAGAAATAAATCTTTAAAAAAAATTAAAAAAAAAATTTGTTCCAATGATATATTTGATTTTTTAAAATCTGATTTAAAAGTCAGTAACATGGCCCTCCCTGGTGGCACAGCGGGTTAAAGCACAGCACTAAGAAGCTAAAGCCACTTCCGCATGAGTTGGATTCCCGCCTGCCCCAGAGGTGACCACATGGCGTGGCAGACCTCTCCTGACCCGCCCGCTGCTCCCCTCAGCAGTGTACTTCGTCGATCTGCCTGTTCTGCTCCCCACTCTGTCTCTGTTGAAGTCTCTCGCCGCCCCTGAGCCTCTGGCCTGTACCCCAGTTCTGTATGCACAAATAAATAAATCTTTAAAAAAAAAAAAGTCAGTAACATCTGAGGTATTTCTTGAAATCTGAAATGAAAATTGCCTTTAAACATTTTCTTTTTTCAGTGGCAAGAATATTATCAATAAGATTGGTTTACATATAAACATATGGATATGGAGGAAAAGGTAGTCAAATGGGCATGCTAAGTGATCGACAGGCAGCCAGGCTGCCTGCCTTGGTCTGTCCGGGTCCATCACTGAGATGTGTGTGCCGGTACTGAGCTCCTCCCCTACCTTGTGACGCTGTTCATCTCTCTGTTGAAGCAAATACTCTTCTTGCTTCAGCATTTCTGTTGTTTTGTTTTCCTTGAGGCTATTATCATACTCCTCTTTTAGCTGAATCTCCTCTTTCCTTTTCTGGGGTGATGTGACAAGAGTCAAGTCAGGTCAGTCCCAGGGAGGCAAGCACAGAGGGGTCTCCCTCCCCACACACCTCACAGACCTCAGGTCCCAGATCTGCAAACTCAAGAGTTTGCTCCTATACCTAGTGTTAGCCAGCTAGGATCTCTCCAACCCACCAACTCACAGCTCTACTGAGCTGGCTTCACTCTTTGGTCTCCAGAACCCCCACACCCTGAAGTACCTGGGCCTAAGTGCATGTCACAAGCTGGAGCAAAGAAGAAACTTCCCAGGCCAACTCTGGAATTCTGCTTTGTATTTAAAGTTACCTTGGAAAAGCTAGAAGCCCCGCCCCAAGCCAATCCAGTATGTGTCACACACCTCTTCTTTTGCTTTAGAGGTTTTCCTGTAATGGTAAAGCCAGTAAGCCAGGTACTCTATGGGGTCACTTGGCCGAACTTTCGCCACCTCTTCCAGTGCCTGAGTCAGGCTATTTCCAAAGCATCTCTTCAGGTATTCGGTTTCCATTTTTGGACCTGGTGAATGCCAAAAGAGAGTCACACTATTTTACAAACCTAATTTGATTTTAAAAATAGACACTTACTAACCAACTCAGATTCATTTCAGTACAAAAATGAGCTGTTTCTGGATCCCATCCTTCCCAAAAGAGACAGGATCAATCAATACAGATTTATCAGTAGCACTTACAATCAAATAGACTTTTCCCCTAGAGCTCACCAGCTATCCTGGGTTAGATAATAAATCCTGGAGGTCATCAGCCCTGAGAGAAGTTGATAGGTAGATGGCCAAGGTGGCTATTGCCATACATTCCTATCCTTGAGTAGGCAGAAATAAGCAAGTAGGCAAGAGGTCTGAGTAGCAAACAGACAGAGCCATTGTGAGGGTGGAAGTTGCAGTCATCTATGACACACTGATCAACAGGCTAATTTACTTCACCAGAGATGACTGAGAAGCCCTGGGAAGGACAGGGATGGAAAATGCTGGGCACTATAGCTCCTGGTCAGGGACTTGTAACCCTTAATACAACATTCCACTCTACTGATGAAGCAAGCAGCCATTTGCAGTTGAACTGATACCCTTCGAATTGCTAATTGGATTTCAGTCTGAGGTAGACAGCAAGTTAGGAGTGGCAGCATGAAGTAGTATGAGCACAGACTCCAGGATCAGATAGGCCAAATTCCAATGCTGATTTTGCTGTTGATCTGCTGTGTAATCTTCCAGTCTTTTAGAGTCTCAATTTACTCATCTGTTAAACAGGATAACAAAGACACATGCCTTGCAATTGTGAGGATTAAGAAAGATTAAGAAATACCTGTAAAGCTCTTAGCCTGGTAGCTGGTTTTTATTAAATCTTACCTTTAACAGATTGTGCAGGAAATGGTCTCCTACCTGGCCTATTTTTTACCAACTCCATATTCCTGAAGTTTGCATATATATATTTTAAAGATTTATTTTATTTATGCATACAGAACTAGAGTACAAGCCAGAGGCACAAGAGCAGCAAGAGGACTCAGCAGAGACAGAGCCGGGAGCAGAACAGGCAGATCGAAGATGCACACTGCTAAGGGGAGCAGCGGACAGGTCAGGAGAGGTCTGCCGCGCCATGTGGTCACCTCCGGGTGGGGATTGAACTCATGCTGAAGTGGCTTTAGCTGTGTTTTAACCCGCTGTGCCACCAGGGAGGGTCCAAAGAAGTTTGTATATTTTAACTCCAAAGGAGCTAATCAATAAAGGCTTACATCCAGCCCGAGGGTATTTTTTTCTGGAGGCATTTTTCAGTTTAAGGAAGGGAAGATAAATAGATATGGATATGGACATAAAAGAAAAAAATCCCCAGTTCTTTCCACTGCAAAGGCCTACAAGTAAAAATGCCTTGGTAACAATGAGCACACTGACTTGTTTTTAAATAGTCTTCACAACTTAAAAGGAATCATGGTTCGTTGGGGAAATGGCTAACTCCAAGGAAACAGAAAGTCCAAATAAGCCAGGAACATTTTGTTGTCCCAGAAAGTTAAAAGATGCAAAAAAAAAAGGGCTCTTCCTGGTGGCACAACCGTTAAAACACCGCACTATGAAGCTCTCCGAAGTCACTGCAGCATGAGTTCGATCCCTGGCCAGGGAGCTGACCCACATGGCGTGGCAGACCTCTCCTGACCCACCCGCTGCTCCCCTCAGCAGTGTAGTCAGTCTGCCTGTTCTGCTCCCCACTCTGTCTCTGGTGAATCTTCTCACTGCCCCTGCAACTCTGGCCTGTACCCCAGTTTTGTAAGCAGAAATAAATAAATCTTTAGAAAAAAAGAAGATGCTAAAAAAATAAAATTGCTGGGGACACAAGTCTCAGCTAGTATTCAATCTGGAACAATTTGGCCAACAAAATAAATGATCATAATGAGTTCTAACTAATTGAGTAAAATAAGGACCCATGCATCAGGTAATAGTAAATTAGTAAATGGGAAAGGAGGCAAGTAGAATCTGAAAGGGAAAGGAGGCAAGTAGAATCTGAAAGGAATAATGAAGCTTTAAAAGAAATCACTATTTTGTAACCATCATAGTATAACTGAAACAAGTAGTGCTAAAATTATGTGACTATTTGATATGAAGAACAGTATTTATATCGTTTCAAAGTATCTCTGCATATATTATATATCAATTCCAAAGGGAAATAGATACCTGCAATGGTGAAACCTGGTTCACACAACTTTAACCAAGTGATCAAAGTCACCACCACTAATAAAAGGGCAATGTGACATGTGTCTCCTGACTTGAAACTTGGATTAGTGGGACAAAATACAGTTGTGTGGATTCCTACCCAAAATGCAAAACTTGAATCAAATTGAGGAAATATCAAACAAAACCACACTAAGAAACAGTTTGCAACTGTTCCTGAAAGACAAAGATCAAAGAAGCCTGAAAGAGCATAACAACTCCATGCAACACATGATCACATGGACTGGATGTGTGTGGGGTAGGGCAGGGGATCCTATAAAAGATGTGGTTGAGGCCCTCCCTGGCAGTGCAGCAGATTACAGCACCACACTTCAGCACTTCAGCACAGGTTCGATTCCCCGCTGGGGAGGTGACCCACATGGCGTGGCAGACCCCTTCTCACCTCCCCGCTGCTCCCCTCAGCAGAGTACTTTCTGCTCCCCACTCTGCCTCTGGTGAATCCTCTTACCACCCTTGCACCTCTGGCTGTTCTGTATGCACAAATAAATAAATCTTTAAAAAAGAGAGAGAGAGAGATGTGGTTGAGAAGGTGGATCAACTGAAAGTAATTGTATAACTGAAAGTGATTGTATAAAGTGATTGTATAAATTTTCTGTTTATGGTAACTGAAATATGAGTAAGGAAATGTTCTTGTTCTAAGGAAAACACGCAGCATGGTAGGGGTGAATAATGACTTCCATAGATGTGCAAGTCTTAATACCTGGAACTGATGAATGTGACCTTAATAGGGAAAAAGGGACTTTGCAGATATGATTCAAGAATTTCAATTTATAGAGATTATACTGGACTATCTAGGTAGGCACAATGTAATCATCAGGGTCTTTATAAGAGGGAAACTGTGAGAACGAAGTGAAGAAGATATGAAAAGGAAGTGGAGGAAGCAAAGGTGATGTGATTCAGGGCCACGAGCTGAAGAATGTGAAAAAGTTCATAGGAGCTGAGAAAAGCAAGGATTTGGATTCTTCTCTAAGGCCTCCTGAAGGGCCCAATCCTGTTGACTTGGTTTTTGCCCTGTAAAATCATTTTGGTTTCTGACTTCAAAAAGCATAAGTGAATTAATGTGTTTAAAGCCACTGAGTTTGTAGTAGTGGTGGAAGGGGTGGGAGTGTGCAATAGATGGTATTCCCTTCTGCCAGACTGGTCCACCTTCCATCTCTCAGTGCCCACTCTGGCATTTAATACCTCAGCCAGGTTCTAGTGAAGTTTCTCCTGCTCAGCACCGCTCTGCATATAAGTTAAAACTGAGCACCCGCCCGGTCCCTCAGAGTCAAGAGGCTTTTGCTGCTCCTCCCCACACCCGCTTGCTCCTTTCTTTCTTTCGGGGCGCGCGGGACTCCTCACCGCCATCAGGAGCTATTCCCTGGTCTTCTAACCTTAAGCTCCCTCCCGTCTGGGCAGCACCCTCCGAACCTCCCGCGTTGCTCTTTGCTCACCCCATAGCGCAGCCTTCTGCCAGGAGTTCTCTCCCTCCCATTCGCGTGTCCACCCCACTCACACGCACCCCTCCTCCTGCCGCACGCCCTCCCCGCCCTTTCCCACTCACTGCTGCGCCTCGCTCCCTTCGCCCAGAGTTCTCAGGTCGCTCGCGGGACTCCGGAAACTGCAGGCGACCGGTCTCCCAGGCGCCCAAAGCTTGATTGCTTGTTGCCTAGCAACGGGACGCGGCTCCCGGGTACTGGGTAGGTGGGAGCGTAGGGTGTGCGCCCCAAGACGCAGGCGCGTTTTGGGCAACCGTCCTTGGTGCTAGGCTGGCTTCCAGCGGTAAGGGACTGTTTTGACGGTTGAATCTTATGCACCGCTTTGGGCTCGGTACACGCCCAGGCTTCCGCGGCTGAGCTCGGGGTGAGTTCCGCGCCCCTCCACCTCCCCCCCAGGCCCACTTGGCAGGGCCGGGGCTGACTCCTCCTCTCACTTCTCACCGATCCGGTTCCCTCACTGTAGGGATCGGAGGAAATGGGACACCCCTCTGTGGGACAGAGGTGAAAAAGAACTAAAGGGGGTGGGGGGTTTGGGATGGGGAGGAGCTGTGGGGGGGTTGGGGGGCGGGGAGCCTGCCAGATAAAATATGGAACTCCCAATTATTTCAGAGAAAGGAGTACACTTTTTCAGCACAAGCACAGTATAATACGAAGTATAATACAAAACGGTTCAGGTTTCTGAAATTCACATTTAACTGGACATCCTGTATTTTTATTTGCCAAATCAGACAGCCTAACCTAGCCCTTCCCACTTTCTCGGGTGACTTTCTCCCAAGCATGACTGGGGTCCCCTATTTCTTGTGACAACCTCTTCAGATTCGAAGCTACTGTTTCTGTGGGTAGGGGCTTTCTTATGTTGATCAAAGATGTTTGCTTGTTAGTGCATGAAAAACAACATTGATGTCAACAGCTTTATGGGATGGTTATTATCTCCACCTCGTGGATAGGAAAAAACGCCAAACCAGGTAAAGAACCTCATTTGGGTCCCAGTGCCAATGTGACTCAGGGCCCATAGACGGAGACCAGCAGCAGGGACGATGGCCGCTCCCCATCCCCTATGTCTTTTTCTTCTGGAGCAGGACCAGGAGTTTGTTTTCTTTATATGACCTCCCCTTTCTGTGCTTTAGACAGTAACAACTCAAGAGGGAAATAGGTTCATTTATACCAGTCACTAGTTTTCACAGTTCTGATGATTGCATCTGTGTATCCACACGTACACATTCCAGACCTCACTGGTTGATAACAGGCTATGTAGTATATACAATGCTGTGCCTTGCTTCTTTTATGTCACATCTGTCCTAGAGATCACTCCCAATTTTAGAGGCTTTCCTCATTCCCTTTTTCACCTGCACAATAATCCATTATGCTGTTTTTAGCTCATTAGTCCCTTAATAATGAACCTTTGGATAGGGAATTGCTTTGGTTATTTCTAAGTAACACTGCAAAATGACCACTGTATATATCCTCTCATGTTTTTGCAAAAACAGTATCCCAGAAGTGAGATTGACAAGCCAGAGATCAAAATACACATGTAACTTTCTAGGTATTGCCAAGTTCCCCTCTTTAGGGATCATACCATTTTGCATTCACATTACAATTATATGAGAGAACATTATTAAGGTCAATGCATAAACCTCCAGAGCTTAGTATTATGAAATTTTATGCAGAATACTAAGTATACATTTATCTAGGGACAGGTCTAGATACCCTGGCATTCTATCCTTTACAGTTGCTCATGCCTGACATATAATACGTACTCAGTATAGTTTTGCTGAACAATGAATACATTTCATTACATTCTTAAGAATCTGGATTTAACAGGGTAATTTGAGAGTGACCAATTTTTTTCAAAGCACTTGAGATATAGTGTTTTCTACTTTCTTTTATTTTTTTTAAAGATTTTATTTATTCATATAGAACTGGGGTACAGGCCAGAGATGCGGAGGGTGAGAGGATTCACCAGAGGCAGAGCAGGAAGCAGAGCAGGCAGATCTACAAAGTACACTGCTGAGGGGAGTAGCGGGCAGGTCAGGAGAGGTCTGCCGCACCTCTACTTTCTTACTGAAAAAAAAAAAAATAGTTCTGATCTAAGACTATTCTTGTTCATCTTTCAGTTATATACTTTGGACCATTACTGGAAATGGAGCTTATTCATTTTCCACTATGATTAAAACACACTCCTTGAGGAGCTAGGAACTTTTCTTTAGTGATAGAACAGACATGGACATGCACAGATCATTCTCAGATAATGTGACAAGGGCTATGTGGCCTAAGAAAGCTTAGGGAATGAGAGATGATGTATGACATCTTGCAGTTGAGGAGTTATTTCCCAAGCTGAGAGGGTGAGAGATCATTGTGTACAAAAGTCATCGAGATTGAGATGTACAAAGTGTGAGCAGAAAATGACAAGTTCAGTATAGTTAGGGTATGTTGGAGGCAGAAGAGATGTTTGGTGGTGAGCCGGAAGACAAAATGCTATTCTTTGGAGGTTGAATTTTATTTTACTATTTGGCCATGGAGATTCATGATTTCATCTGTGATATTATTGCAATATATTTTTAAAGATGTTTGTTTATGCTTACAGAACTGTGGTACAGGCCAGAGGTGTGTGTGGGGGTGTGTGTGTGAAAGGATTCACCAGAGACAGAGTGGGGAGCAGAACAGGCCGATCTACTGAAATACTCGCTGAGGGGAGCAGCAGGCAGGCCAGGAGAGGTCTGCCACGCCATGTGGGTCAGCTCCCTGGACAGGAATCAAACTCATGCTGCAGTGGCTTTGCAGAGCTTCATAATGCGGTGTTTTAGCCTGTTGCACCACCAGGGAGAGCCTATTGAAATTTTTTTTTAAATGGCTGGGGAGGAGCTTCTTGGCAGAGTCATTATGACAATGACTCTGGAATGAGAAGTTGGGGATGAGTGCCATTTCTCCCAGGGGATCCTCGAGTGTTCACGTATGTTCTCTGCCCAACTGTCCTCATACTGGAAACAATGCACAGTGCATTTGGGACACTAACTCCACTTTCAGGTATGTTGCTTGGCATATTGTCACCTTTCACTCAATACTTAAAGTTTCCCTTGGACTTGAGAGTCCTTCAGAGTTTTCAGATTATTTTAATTGTGGTAACTTGTGTGGTGTCTTTTGGCAAACTATCTCCTGCAACCATCCCTGATGAGAGATACCCAGGACTGGTGGCATTCAGGATTTGTTGGCCTCACTTTTATTGTATCTTCAGTGAAAGCTTCCTGCATTAATGCAAAATATTTCTCTTTTAGAAGTTTTTGTTTAAATATTAGGAATGGAGTCAGCGTATCTTCAAAAGCACCTCGGGGCATGTCTAACTCAGGGTCTTGCAGAAGTAGCAAAAGTTCGTCCAGTGGATCCAATAGAATATTTAGCGTTGTGGCTTTACAAGTATAAGGAAACTGTGACTGCAGAGCAATTAGTAAGTATGGATCTTCTTTTAGAAAATTAGAAAATAAAATAATTGGTCAGATTTGTTTATTCTAAGTTCATTATTATTTCTTTCCCTATAAAAATAGTGCTTATTATATGAAAGCTCCAACCAAAAAAGTAGAAGGAAGATAATACCCAAAGAAGACCTTTATTAAGATCTTTAGGTATTTTCTTCTTGACTTTTTTCTACTTGATGTAGATTTTTTTACATAATTGTGATCATACTTGGTATATAATTTTAATTCTTTAATTCAAATTATTGTACAGTTTTCAAATGGACAGACTATACTTTGTTTAACCCTTATCCTATTTTTGGTCACCAAGATGCCATAAAGTTCATTTTTTTTTTAAAGGCTTATTTATTTATTCATACAGAACTGGGGTACAAGCCAGAGATGCGGAGGGTGAAAGGATTCACCAGGGACAGAATGGGGAGCAGAACAGGCAGATGGATGAAGTACGCTGCTGAGGGGAGCAGCGGGTGGGTCAGGAGAGGTCTGCCACGCCAGGCCAGGTGGATCACCTCCGGGTCAGCGGGGATCAGGGATCCAACTCATGCGGAAGTGACTTAAGCTTCTTAGTGCTGTGCTTTAACCCGCTGAGCCACCAGGGAAGGCCCTCAAGTTCATTTTTATGAAGTTTTTTTTCTCTGATTAGTCATGTGATACTGTTTTTAATACTAGAGAGAAAAGGAATTGGTGGAATTGGAACGTGAACGAGAAGCAGCTCTAATGGAGCAGGAAATGATGGAGAGGCTCAAAGCAGAGGAACTCATGTTCCAGGAGGTAAGACAGAGCTCAGAGGTAACTGGAATTACCAGTGTCTACCTCCATGTGGTTCAACCCAAGTGTTAAAAACTCCCCATCTCTGGCTATAGCTTCTCATAACTTCTTCTTTTGTGTGTATATCCTTTGCTGAAGCAGCTGCACTGGTGAGGTAGTGAGAGTGTGTTCTTGAAGAAGCCCTGTGTCAGCCACACCCGTGATTTGAGTGTCACCCCTGGTGACACTGATGGGATCAGTGTGGACAGAGTGTGGTGAAGCAGGGGAGATGGCAAGTGAGGTAATGTTTCCAAGGAAGTTTTTTTTTTTTCTTTAAGGAAACCAAATGGAAAGGCAGTGGTTTATGTTAAGAAATAGAGGGCTTTATCTCTAGAGTCAGCCTTCCATAGAGACAGGAAGAAATTGGGTCTGGTGTATAGACCAGGCAAGTAGAGGGTCTTTGCATTCAGGGAAAGAGGAGAGATAGCATAGGTGTGTGTGGGTGTGTGGGTTTTGTGGCATGAAAAAACTGTGTGTGTGTGACACTTTCTTGTCTATGAAGTGGCCGGCAGAATGAGGTGGTAAGGTGGAGGTGTGGACAGAAGGCTGGGGTTTGGAATGGTGGTTTTGGAGAATGTGGTACGGTATTTTGAAATATGGAAGTTACTTTTCTATTTACATGAAGGTTTAAAAACATCCTGGAACACTGTCCTTGGAACTTGGAAAATACATTCACTACACATTTGTATAGGAGTGAAGATCTAGTTTCTTGTTTTATTTTGTGTTAGTACTTTAAGTGTATAAAGCAGCTTGACATACTTGTGATTCAAAAACATTAGTTCTTGAAATGACTTTCCTGAAGTATAATTTGTACGTCTCAGTGATATTTAGCCTTATAATTTTAGGTTGAATCAATTAAGAAACTTCTTTTCTTATTTTGACATGATGGGCGAGCACTGAGAAAAAGATGTCACAGAGTTGTAATACGGTGTCACTCTACATGCACTGACTGAATTAAATGTACTGTGTGACTTGTGCTAAGGAGCAGTGCAAAGTCAAAAGAGCCCCACCTCAGCTGTTCTGATTGCAAAAGCTCTCAGACAATAAGTCACTGAATGAGCCTGGCTGTGTTTCAATAGAGCTTTATGGACACTAAAACTTGCATTGCATGTAATTTTCATGAATAGTTACATATTATTCTTGTGATTATTTTTCAACCATTTGAAAACATTCTTAGTTTCTAGGCTGTATAGAAACAAGAGTTGGTCAGATTTGGCCTGACCCAAAACTTAGTTTTCTGACCTCTAGTCTAAGTGTGACATATATGTTGAGTTGGGATCAAGTAAATTGTAGATTATCTATGATATCAGATAATATACTTGAGATTTTCTCATCAGTAGTCTATAATCAAAGTTTGGCTATCTTTGAGAACCCATCTATGTTTTAAGAAATTTTATCTTAAAAAAAAAATTGCTATCGTCTTTTATGTAATGCAAAGTACAGAGGAAATGCCTTGATTTTGTAGAAAGTGTTTTTCTTAAGCGCTTAAAGAAGCTTCCTTTTTAATTCTATGCCTTAGGAATTATTTGTAAATGCTTGAATGTTGAGTGGCTGTGACCATTTATTTTTACACATTACTGAAATTTAAGTATGCATAAACTTAAGATTATTAATAAACTTAATAATACATTTCAAAGTAGTGACTTTAATTTTTGCAATTGGTCTGACTCTATTTGATTCATTTATTCCTGAATATCCAGCAACAACTGGCCTTCCAGCTAGAGCTGGAAATGCAAGAAAAAGAGAAAGCGAGAATAGAAGAACTAAAGAAAATAGAAGACATAATGGAGCAGGTGATTGAAATTTTTATAAATGTCTTTTATTTAAAAATCTCTTGGATTCCTTAGTTCTTCCAGTTGTTATTGCTTGGCCTACTAAACACTTGTCACACAAGAGCAGTGTGACTTAGACAAATCTTACAGCCTTTTTTTTTTTTCAATCTCAGTTAACCTTTTTGAAAAATTGGAATAATAGCATATACATTATTAAAAATAGCTCACTGGAGGGCCCTCCCTGGTGGTGCAGTGGGTTAAAGCACAGCACTAAGAAGCTTCAGCCACTTCCGCATGAGTTCGATTCCCGCCTGCCCCGGAGGAGATCCACATGGCGTGGCAGACCTCTCCTGACCCGCCCGCTTCTCCCCTCAGCAGTGTACTTCATCGATCTGCCTGTTCTGCTCCCCGCTCTGTCTCTGGTGAATCCTCTCACCCTCCGCATCTCTGGCCTGTACCCCAGTTCTGTATGAATAAATAAATAAAAATCTTTAAAAAAAATAGCTCACTGGGTTGCAATAAAGATCAAATAAGATCGTGTATGTACAACAGCTTAGTGAGCAGTAGAGTTCTCTGGTAGGATGCTGTCCACATGTTAGTTGAGATTGTTGCTCCTAATTGTGGTAGCCAGAGTTGAAGTGAAGTTCTTGTTAATAGTGGGGTTATTCTAATTTCTGAGTCGGTAAATCTCTTCCTGTTAGATGTACTATCAACAATCATTTACATTTAAGAACACGTTTTAGATGAGATATTCGTGTCTTTCATTAAGTAAAATATATAGTAACTTATACTGGAAAAGTCTGCCTCTATTGACTAGGTCTGTATGATATCAGACCTCTATTTTTTCCCACTGTTTCCTGGTATCCAAAAGGTTAAGAATCAAATAAACCAAACTCCTGAATAACTGAGCTATTCTATTCAAGGAGCTATTTCATATTCTTTGTTCATAGCTAGTATCTGCTACTCAAATGTTACTCTCCAGTGTATGCCATAATTACAAACAGAAGCAGGCTTTATAGAATATTTATTAATGATTTCTAGTGATAGTATCATTATTTAAAGTAATCTTAAAATAGCTCTAGGGTGAATTGATTAAAAGGAGATGAGATGTAAAGGGGAAATTCAAAACCTATGCAGATGCTGACATTCTCTTAGCCTGACTGTTGTAGAAACATACCTGCACACACACATACATACATGTGCCCTTTCTCTCCAGTTAAGATTCACTAGTCTAGAAGGAAGGAAAACTAGAACACGTCAAGAAGACAGTAATCAAAATGATAAAACAAGGTAAGCTATTTTTGTTAAAGTCATTTGAAAGTTCTGCTTGAGTGTTTTCAAGTCTATAAGTTATAGGGGGTATTAGACTCTGTTTTGTGGCTCTAGAGTGTCACATCCATGATCTGTTCACAGATGAAGTCCCTCATTTTTTACATTTCAGCTCTTACATTTAACATTTACTTCTTTCTTACTATGCTAAAATTCATGTTCTCTTTAAAATCTCTCACTCTATTAACACTTTTGTTTTGTCATGTTTCGCATTTTGCTAATACTTGGCTTCAGGTTTGTTTTTTTTTTAAGATTTGTTTATTTTTGCATACAGAACTGGGGTACAGGCCAGAGGTGCAGGGGCTGTGAAAGGGTTCACCAGAGACAGAATAGGGGAGCAGAACAGGCAGACTGACTAAGTACAAAGCTGAGGGGAGCAGCAGGCTGGTCAGGAGAGGTCTGCCTCGCCATGTGGATCACCTTCCGGGGTGGGCGGGCTTCGAACTCATGCTGAAGTGGCTTTAGCTTCTTCGTGCTGTGCCACCAGGGGGGGCCGGCTTCAGATTTTATTATCGATCCATTTTTTTCAAAGACATTGCATGTAATCATCAACACAGCAGGAAGTCTTCCCCTGGTAGAGAGGATTAAATGAGCTGGGGACCTGCAGTTTTGTGTGTCACATCCCTTCTTAAACAAACGCCTTATGACAACAGTGTTGCCTTCAATTGGTTACAACATTCTAAAAGAAAAATGAGTGAAAATCAAACGAGGAATCAAACTGAAAAGCATAATGTATTTTTTCTTCATTTTTATATGTTATAGGAGGCAAGAATGAATATGGAAAATATAGTTAAGGGTGAAGATGCCCCTCATTTGGAGGTGAGAAGAAAAGTTACTCAGTTACTTTATGTTATATAAAATGAATGAGTACCCTGAAACGTAAAGCTTCATTTTGGTGCATTTGTGGTTAAGTGTTTAATAAGTAAACAGTCAAAAAAGATAGTCCAAATATTCAACTTAATAATAAAACACACAAATATGAAGTGCTTTAAAGCAAAATCTTTTCTCCCAAATTATGTTTCTTGAAGTAAAGTAGGTTTACATGTCTCTTTATTAAAGTGGGTAAAAATTGGGCATTCAGGTTGTGTTTGAATTTTTAAAAACCAGAATGTCATGAGATAGTCACTCCAGGATTACTTAACAATGATTTAGCCTATCTTTCAGAATGTATCTTTTAGCAAGTTTTAGCATTTATTCCTAGAATTGTCTTGTCATTAACAGATATTAGTTCACTTCATGAATTAATAATGTTGGGTTTTGATTTGTAATCTCAAATTTTCTTGTCAAAATCAGAGGAAAATCAATCTATTTATTTGGAAGTCAGTTGAAAGTAAAAATAAAGTTTATGATTTTAGGAATCAGGCAAAACACTAGCTGAAATCAGTGACCGGTATGGGGCACCTAACCTGAGCAGAGTGGAGGAGCTTGATGAACCAATGCTATCTGATGTAAGTACCCATAGGACAATGTTTGGTGAAAAACAGCTTCTTTTACTTGTAGTAAGCCTAGAGCAGATCAGCAGGTGGAAGCCAGGACTGCTGTGGCAGAGGGTCCCTTAGGGGCCTTCCTGAGTGGGTCCTGACAAACTGGGGAGAGAAGAATCCAACCGTCCTTGGTATACATGCTGAGGTGTGGGTCTGCTAATCCTAAATGGCTGGTTTATCCAGCCTCCATTTTGTTACCTACAGTTCTATATTCCTAAAGCAAGGTCAGAACTGCCTGATCATGGGAGCCCAACCCTATGAGGTACCTTTCAAATCAAGTAAGAGCATAAAGCTAGATCACACTGGGAAGGGTATGCACCATGAGGTATCACTGGGAATGCCCGGGAGTGTGTGTGTGTGTGTGGGCATTAACTGATGCATAACAAAGGACCCAGAAGCTGAACAGTGGATGCTTGATTGATGAAATTGAAATCCTGACAAGGAAGTCAGGGCTTGATCTACAATACCAATCTATCAGCCAATGAGAAGTACAGTTCCACCTTTCCCCAATGTCTTTTATTTTTCCCTATCCGTTACTACTTCTTCATATGATTAATGCTGTATGATTAATTTACCAATAAAAAGGCCAGGATCTTGCTCTTGAACAGTCTCCTGCATTATGTAGCCTGCGCTACAACTCCCATCTCTTTATCAGAATGGTGTTGCTCGACACAACACTGAGGGAAGCTAGGTGAGCCAGTCAGTTACCCAGAAGAGCATGCAAAATGTGGGACAGGCACTGGGTCAGATTGAGACTCTTAGAAATTCTGGCACTGAAGGGGCTGGTACAGCAGAGGAGTCCCACATGAAGAATAAGGGCACCCCTAGGCAAGGAAAGCAAGAGAAGTGGAAGAAAGTGTGGCTTCATGAAGGCATTGAGAACGCAATCACTTTTCTCTTGAATTTGAGTTTTACCTGCAATAATTTGAAATTCTTGAAAAGTCCCATTACCAAAGCACATAAAATTATCTAAGCTCTATTTTCTTTGCCTTTGCATTTTCACAATGATAAATGTATTAAACTATATTCACTTTTATTTTGCTTTTAGGTTGCATTAAACATTGATCAAGATTTGTAGTCTCAACCAACTCAAGAGTAATAAATTTTTGCTTGTTTCAAGTTTCAAAGGATGAGGTTCCCCATTGTATTTTTCTCCCAGACTTGAATTCTTTCTTTTTCTAAAGGCACTTTTATAAATGGGCTTCAGCGGCAACTTGAAAGCATTGTTTTGCATTCCCCAATGCACCTGGTTATGCATGTGAGATTGCACTGAGAGAACAGGAGGGAGAGTTTACAGAAGCCACCCCAGGGGGCCGCTGGAGGCAGCGCTGGAAGGAATGTGTCCAGCTCCTAAGAACAATCACCTGAGGTGAAAATTACTGGTTCTTGAGAAGTCAAGAGCAAAAGAATAGGACTCCGGAGTACTCGAGATGCTTTAGTTACATTTCCTCCTGGGAGTTGGCTGCAAAGGCTTCTCTCATGTGAAGGGAGATGATGCTAGCTAAAATCTGAGTGTGCAGACTGGTGTGAGAGGTGGTGGTGTCAATTTCTTATGTGGAGAGAAGTCGCTTCTTGCTCCCTGGAAGCAAAAGAACAAAATGAAACCACACACACACACACACACACACACACACACATATACAACCCACAAAGGAGCTTGGGGTAGGGGGTAGAAATGTGAACAGAGAAATGAAGGGGAGAATACCTGCTCAATGCTTGAATGATAGCAGACTCAGGAAGGGATGTTCAAGTTCACAAAAGAGGACAGTTCACAAAAGTCAGTCTGGACCAGACTGCAAAATATACTCATTGTCAAGCTAAGAAGTGTAGGCATGTAGGCAGTATGAGCCAGCAGAGGAAGGAGGTGAAATTGCACACTGAAGGACATTTTTTTTGTGGATGGGACGTGAGAAAGAGGTGTTATGTCCCGATGAGTTGCTTTCATATGCTGTCCGTGTGGTGTTTGGGATGGCTCCTGCTTAGGATGCTGTTGTGAGAGTTGAGGCCTAAGGTCATGAAAATCTGAACCTGCACTGTCTCAGATTCATTTAATGAAGGTTTACTACTTGCCAACAACTGTATGAGATTCTCATGGAGGAACAGATGCAAAAAAATGTTTCCTGCTCTCAAGTCATTCCCCACATGGTAAATGTAAAGAAAACAAGTGATGGCTGATTAGATAGTTGTGAAGGGCATCCTGAAAGCTAGAGCAGTTGGAGGGGGCACCTTGAGGACTCAAGAGAGATCAGGCCTAAGGTAAGGAGGGAGGCCTGCTCAGGTGTGTCCCAGGGTGTAAAGGAGAAGCCCAGAGCTTCTCACCGACATGTAGAGTCAGGTGTCAGGGGGGCTCTTGTTTGGGAGGCACTAATCTGGGGTATATTGATGCATTTCAGGACAGAGCACAGAATTAATGTCTAGGAGATAACAACTTTATCCCAAAGTGCCATCCCCTTTGAAAGCATCACAAACACAAAAACAAACACAAACAATTCAATCAAGAATCTAGATATCAACACTCTCTGAATCCAGTCTAACTGGATTCAATTGTATTAAAATTGTCACTGTTTCTGCTACCACTAGATGTCACAAAGAGTCAGTTTTTAAGAGCCTAATTCTTGAGACTGGGCTTTGAAAAAATTTCATTTTGTACAGAAACAAGGTTTATAGTGAAATACTACTTTAAAAATTTAAGGTAATTATTATGAATCAGTACAAGTATATACAGACTAATATAAATAATATCTTTAAACCCAAAAGATTTAAGAGATTTTCATCTTTTACCTCTATTGGTGCATGTGTATTTATTGATTTGAACACCGTGTGATGTGCCATTATGTCTGCTCTTCTATCGGCAGCTGTTTAAGCTCTCACAAATGCTTTATTTTAATAACACACCCATGGATGTATCGTGATGTGCAAACACGTGCACACGAGGCTATCTGGTTGCCTGCACGCTGGCTGGGTGGGCTTCTTAAAATGCACCCCCAGCAAACCAGTAAGTCCGGGTGTGGGACTGGAGAATTTCCATTTTTAGCATATTCCCGCGGCTGCTGCTGCTGCTGCACAATCACACCTTTCAAAACACTGCTTTAGGATGCGTAAGTCCACCTGTGCAGTTCCTGGTGTCCATTTTCAAGCTGCCAGACAAAGCTAAGTGCTTTTCAAAGGGGTCACATTTTGTTCTGCTGCAGGATGTGGGCATTCGTAGCATGTGTGTCCTTTCTCGTACTTGGTGACACTACACTTCAGCGGTCTTACCCATCACTGGAGTGTAGTGTGGTAGCTTCTTTGTTATTTAATTTGCACTTTCTCTGATTATTAGTGAGGCTACCTATGTTTTTTCATGTTTGCTGAACAGTGGCTTTACTCTTCTGGGAATTGCATGTTCATATTGTTTGATTACATTAACTATTGATTTGTTTGTCTTTTTCTTAGTGATTTTCTTTGTTGGATATATGTGTTGGGAAATCTCTCAGGTGGTAGGTTGTCTTTTAACTTGGTTTATGGTACTTATTGCTTGGCAAAAATATTGAGTTTTATTTTAGTTAGATGTACTATTTTTCCATCATGTTTTGTGCCTTGAAAGATGATTCATTCTGAGACATGTATAAACTATCCAATCTGATTTAAGGATTGTCTTTGCAAATTATTTTTATATAGTTTATTTTATTTTATTTTTTAAAGATTTATTTATTTATGCATACAGAATTGAGGTACAGGCCAGAGATGCAAGGGTGGTGAGAGGATTCACCAGAGACAGAGTAGAGGGCAGAACAGGCAGACTGACGAAGTACACTGCTGAGGGGAGCAGCGGGCGGGTCAGGAGAGGTCTGATGCGCCATGTGGATCACCTCCGTCCAGGGCAGGCGGGGATCGAATTTATGCTGAAATGGCTTTAGCTTCTTGATGCTGTGCTTTAACCCGCTGCGCCACCAGGGAGGGCCCTATAGTTTATTTTTATAGAGGTAATGTTGTTTTACACATTATATAGGTTTTAGTTTGGCAACTAGTGTTTATACAGTTTCACTTTGGCAACTGTGCTTATCATACTATGCCTACAATCAAATGACCAGTCACCATCCACTACCACCCAGTGGTTCCCTCTATCTGTTCCAACCCATCCCCTTCCTCTCTGGTAACCCCCATTCTATAGTCAGAGTTCAAGAATTTTATTTTCTTTGTTTCTTTATAGTTCACAAATTAGTGAATGTCAAATGGTATTTGTCTTTCTCCTTTACTTAATTCACTTAGCCTAATCCCCTCAAGCCCCATCCTTGTTTTTGCAAAAGGTAAGATTCCATTTTTTCTATGGCTGAACAGTATTCCACTGTGTATATATACCAGCTCTTTCTTATTTACTCATCCACTATTGGAAACAGCTTCTTTATCTTGCTACTATGAATATTTTCATGTATTTTATTTTAGATTTTCAAATTAATTTTCTTCAAGTATAGTCAGTAGCCAAACCAATAGTTTAAAAACCAGGTAAATCAGGTCCTATCTGGTGGCAGGTAAATGCAGCACTAAGAAGCTAAAGCCACTTCAGCATGAGTTTGATCCCCAGCTCCGGAGCTGGCCCACATGGCACGGCAGACCTCTCCTGACCTGCCCACTGCTCCCCTCAACAGTGTACTTTGTCAGTCAGCCTGTTCTGCTCCCTACTCTGACTCT